ATGTGATGAAAACCAGACCCACTGTTTAGTCTTCCCATAGTCCGACATAGACCACGTACGTAGGATCTGATTTTCCACGCGGACGTAACAGTCTGATATCCTACGCGAAAAGAATTTTCTGATAATGATTGTTATATTGGGCATAGTAAAAGATTTATTCCCGAGTATATGCATCTAAGCTATAAATATATTCTTATTTATTATAAATATATCAGCATGAGCTTTATTAGATACAGCGGTAAATGCTTCAGGTACCAAGAGATTCGGTTGAATCTCGCGCCGAGTACAAGCAACCGGCTATACAGGGCATGTCCCACCGAAACTTTTTAGCCGAGCGAAATCTTGTACCTATGTTTACAATAAAATATCTTATAAACTGATATATATGAGAAAGAGTTTTTAATACATTTATAATAAAAGAGTGAGGGTTCCTAATCGATTGTCACCGACAACAAAAAGATTAGTGTATGAGATCAGGGTTTATTGGCCAGTATTCAAAATAAGTTCTTCGTTTTAAACATCTTAAAACATTCTCTACCATGTGTTATTATTACTATATCTACGGTCTTAAGACTGTGCTTCGTCTCAAGCACTGACTATGAATACACTATTGAGAGGGCGAGCGAGATCATTTCATTTTAGTTCCAACGCCAACGCACGTCTATCTACTTTTTTACACGACGGATTTGCCACAATCAAATACATTTTTTACGAGAAGCTACCATTCACACCGAATTTTCAGTTAATATAAGGCTGCTTTCACAATAATATAGAATTATTAAGTCTTTAGCCCGCACGAAAAGTGTGACAGCCATTCACGTGGAGCGCGCATGTACGTATGTGTGTGCTTCGACATAGTTCCTCGTATTTCAGATGACAGTTTTTAGAGATACATGGTGTCCAGGTGTTTTTCTCTGTAGTTTCCTGTACCTAGGTGTCGCACGTGGAAGTACAGGGTATCCAGGTATTCCTCTCCGTAGTTTCCTGTATGTAGGCGTCGGACGTGGATGTCCAAGGTGTCCAGAGAAGAACGCAACGAGCAACGCTTTGGCGTTTTGCTCCCAGAGATGAGTAGGAAGATGCACAACGCTACGGTTTTAGGCGATACCAAAAACATGACGCTGAATCGCAGCGGCAAATTAAGAAGTAGAATTTTGTGATCATCGCCTCCGTCGATAATGCAGATTCCATCCCAGCCCAGCTGACTGCGATCACGAATTTGTAGCTTGTCGAGCACAGGCTCTCCGCTACTTACCGCTGGTTCCCAAAACAACACAACAAGGCAACTCATCGAATATAGCCTAAATATTTTTTTCTTTGTAATCCTAATTTCGAGAGTACAGTGTAAGCTCGGTAAGTTTAATATGACAAAAGCCAAATCATGCCTGCCTGCACTGAAACGTATGATGCCACCAATATATTTTACCGATGTTGCGCAATAGGACTATTGTTAAACCCTATCAGGAACTATAGAACTCCTCCAGAACTATTGAAAAAGCCTATTGTTGAAACATATTTAAGAAATTGTGGTGCTAACTTTATAACCGTGTAGCACCTCAATTTTGGAAAATGTTTCATCAATAGGCATTTTCAATTGTACTCGAGGAGTCCCATTGTTCCTGATAGATTTTAACAATAGTTCTGCTACGTAACATCCTTAAAATATGTATTTTACGAAAATTGAGGTGCTACACGGGTGTCAGCTCCAGTACCGTACTTTTTAAAAAATCTCTTAAAAATGTTTCAACCATAAGCTTTTTCAATAGTTCACGAGAAGTTCTATAGTTCCTGATAGGTTTTAACATTAGTTCTTGACTTACCTTGAATTTAAAAAAAAAGCTACGAGGGTACAAACGATGGAACGCTGTGGAGATGTACTAAAGACTATACTCTTTTGAATGAGACTAATAGGCAAGCTTTACAAACGATACTTTTTTGAGAAACTCGAAACAATGGCGTCTAGATGCTACACTTGCTACGTACTTATCTTAAATTAAAAGAAAAACTGTGAGGGTGCATACGATGGAACTAGAGACAATACTCTTTCGAATGGGACTGATTGGAAAGGTCAGCAAACGATACTTTTTCGAAAAACTCAAAAAACGGCGTTTACACGCTGTACTTCCTACGTACTTGTCTTGAATTTTAGGAAAAACTGTGAGGGTGCAAACGATGGAACACAGTGGAGATGTACTCACCGGAGCAGTGCAACTGATCCGTGAATGCCAAGAACTGCATCCAGGAGACACTCAGGTGGGCACTGCACTAGGGCACAGCACTGCACTTTCGGAACACTCACAGAAAATCCACGAAATTTCCTGGATGTCGCGAGAGCAATGCGAGAAGTACATGAGTGAAAACTTGGTTTGCCATATCAAAACACGGCTAGAAAATCTGTCAACAGGCAGCACTGGGCACCTACACCGGTGCCCTCAAACAGACTGCTTTGACAATAGCCAAATTGGAGAACTAATCATTCTGATTGGCCAAAATCCTTATAGCCGATAACTTTTCCTTTCCGTCAAGCCGTCCCTTTAAATCAAATCGAGAGCGTTATTTAGCGAATCAGTACGTAACGTTTGGAGATCCACGGCCGCTTCCCCAGGACATCAGGCGACAACTGGGCACCACACCCTTAACTCGGGCAGGAGGTTCCTCCCCTGCCCTTAATTGTAACAAAACCTTATCTCTGACCGCTCTACAGCCCTTTGCCCATCTCCAGCGGAGCGCCGCTATCTCACCCGGGCTTCTGTCGTCTGTGGAGACATCTCCGTTGGGTACTCTCCTTTGCTGGGCAACTCAATAGGTCGTGACTATCTTCCCACGGCAGATTCAAACACCTCGACCTCAACTAAGCAATAACGAAATCTTATGAGAGCATTGGCATAACTATACGAATCAACCCGAGAGCGTTGCTTCTGAACACGGCGGTGACTCAAAGGAAACCAGAAAGCGAGAACGTTATCTGTATGGATAGCCGGAATCGCCTTGTGACCGTGAATCGAAAGATCACGTCACAAAGCTTACCCGTGTACCAGCGTATAAGTACATTTAGAATAATTGTTTGCAGTGTATTGCGCTAAGTATTTTATATAAATGTTAAGCAATAAAGCGAATTTACGGTAACCATAATAATTGATAAGGAGGAGACAGATAAGGGTAAGGATAAGCGCAGGAGACTGCTATAAGCTTAATTAATGTCCCAGTGACGCTGATGGTGTTTTAGTTAACAAAAATTGACCGCGACTGCCACCTCAATTTTTGGAAAATACGTATTTTAACGGTGTTACGTAGCAGAACTATTGTTAAAACCTATCAGGAACTATAGAACTCCTCTAGAACTATTGAAAAAGCTTATTGATGAAACATTGTTCAAAAATTGAGGTGCTACACGGGTGTCAGCTCCAGCACCGCATTTTTTTAAAATCTCTTAAAAATTATTCAACAATAGGCTTTTTAAATAGTTCACGACTTCTATAGTTCCTGATAGGTTTTAACAACAGTTCTGCTACGTAACGTCGGTAAAATACCTATTAAGGATACTAGTCGCACCATACGCTTCAGTACAGGTGTGCATAAGGAGCTGGCTTTCAGTGTTGTTTTCACATTGTGTTTCAAACAATTCCGGGGTTTTCTATTTAGTACTGAATGTTGGGACGATAGTTCCGGTTGAAACTATTATTAAATAATTCTGGAAGCTGGCACCGTATCGCTGCACTCCTTAACACAGGTAGGCATGAGGTGCTGGCTTTTGTCTTAGTAAATCTTATCGAGCTGACACTGTGCACTCGAATTTAACATTACGAAAAAAAAATATTTTGGCAATATCTGATGAGCGGCCACGTCCTAAGAGTTGCTCTGGAAATCAGTGGTAAGTTGCGGAGAACCTCTGCCGGCCAGGCTACACGTTCGTGATCACTTTACCGTCGGGAAGTTAGCGCGGGAAAATCAAAATTTGTATATTTATAATGCTTAAAAAATTGCTCCTTAAATGCTCCATATATTTCCGTAATTGCTCCACTGCTACTATGCAGTGATTAATAAATATTCATTAAAACAGAAAATTTTTATTTTTATTGAAATTCCAAATAACCGAGCAGATTTTCATATGAGTTTCTTGATGAATTAATTGCTCCCGATTTGCTCCCAATTGCTCCACAATTAGTTTTTGATTTAATTAAAGCATCTTTAAATAATAAGTAAAATTTGATTTTCACTTAGCTCGATTGCAAACGTGAACATTATGATTGGTTTGCGAACACACCTGTGACAGCTGCGTTCTAAGATCAGCCAAGAGTGCGCGAGCATCGTTGCCTCGGTTCATTTTGGAACACACTTGGTCAATTCAGGATTGGTCAATTCCTTTAGATCAGTATTAACTAAACCGGTTCAAGAGCGCCGTGTAAACGTAGTTTAAGGCCTGTTATCTTCTGGGGATCAATTGTGTAACTCAAATGTAGTGAAAATACGTAAAGTGAATAGCTGTTAGGCCAATCGCTGTGCTTGTCTTCTTTTAAACCTAACACGCAAATCGGGAGAAATTAATTCATGAAGAAACTCATATGAAAATCTGCTCGGTTATTTGGAATTTCAATAAAAATAACAATTTTCTGTTTTAATGAATATTTATTAATCACTGCATAGTAGCAGTAGAGCAATTACGGAAACATATGGAGCATTTAAGGAGCAATTTTTTAAGCATTATAAATATAAAAATTTTAATTTTCCCGCGCTAACTTCCCGACGGTGATCACTTTCAGCTTGGCTACGACGGGATATGCATTATCGACGGAGGCGATAATTACAAAATCCTACTTCCGGAATCGCCGCTACGATTTAGCGTTGTTTTTGGTATCGCCTGAAACCGTACCGTTGTGCAACTCCCTACTCATCTCTGTCTCTGATCAAGAAATTTGTGTCTACTATGCATGTATATTTGTATAGTTAATGGATGAATATGTAATTTAGACGGTAAGTATTGATGAAGATTAGTGAATATTTGAATTTTCTTTATCCCCTATTTCAACTAGTTTTAATGGGCTAAACTTAAATCTCCGAAAATTCGTAGAGATGTAATCATGAATAATTTACATGGCAGTACTCAAACACTTGAGGTTACGTTACTTAGATCAGTTCGTTTTGTTGTAATAACAAACATCAAACGTCATAGTATATTTAAAACGTATACAAAATAGCGATTAAAGTTGCAATTGTTTTAACATGACAATATATCTTATTAATTTGTTTTTTTATAGGTAGGTGCATAGCAAATGGAAGATTTTTCAGTGAAAGACGAACCAATGGATGCTTTAAGTTTAGAGGCACAGGTGATGGTAAGCATCATCAAAGTGAAACAGCATATCCCTCTTTTGCTTCTAAATTGCCCGTTATTTTAAGGCTGAGAACATTGTAAGCGTTGTACTTAAAGAAGAACCTGGAGCTAGATTCGATCCAAATTATATGGATGATATCTGTTCAGGGAACTTTGAAAAGGTATTTCTACCTATCGAGAATCAGGAAGTTGATTTATCTGAAGAAATGGTAACTGTCTAACATTTTTTCTCTAATATCTTATTGACTACTTCATAATGAAACAATGAATATTGCATAATAGTATAAATATTTGTTAATTATAAAAACATATAGATGTTGATTCAAATAGTAAGTTAATAAATGACAGAATTTATGTCAGCAGGTTCAACTAGGAATTAAGAATGAGGACAATGTTCAGCACAATTGGCCAGAGCAGGTCATTGACAACAGTTTATGTGAGAAGGAAGATAACTCACTGCATCGATACCTGGTCGATTCCGAACTCCAGCAAACCTATCTTGATTCAACTACCTCAAGAGATACAGTGAATTCAATGAACGAAGATGATTCTGGACGATATAACTTATTTGGCATAAACCCTCAGCAATCTAAATTCTGCAAAATACAATGCATCGTATGTAAAAAATGGTTTTTAAACAATGAATCTCTGGTCACTCATTTAGGTACACACTGTGAAGGAACTCAATGTGAAGTGTGTAATGAAAACTTTGAACACAAATCTAGTTTGCATGCTCATATGCTACTTCACATGGGCATGAATCCATTAGAATGTAACATATGTCAGAAAAGATTCACCAACAAATTACGCTTACGTGGTCACATGCAATCCCATACAACAAATAATCCATATGAGTGTGATACCTGTCAAAAAACATTCATAAAACGATCAGGTTTAAGCAATCACCTGTTGATTCATGCTGGCGAAAGATTATTCAAGTGCGAAATTTGTCAAACAACTTTTAAAGAAAAAGGAAATTTGAATCGACATATGCTAATTCATACAGGAGAACGTTCATACAAATGCGATGTGTGCTGTGCAGTTTTTCGCGAGAAAGCTAAACTAAACATTCACATACCAGTTCACAGTGGTATAAAGCAACATCAGTGTACCGTATGTCACAGATCATTTGCACAAAAAACAGCGCTAAATAATCACATGCCGGCACATAGTGGTCAAAAACCGCACGAGTGCAATATTTGCCAAAAAACATACAAACGAAAATCTGAATTAGTAAGGCATACCCTGGTGCATACTGGCGAGAGGCCATACGAGTGTAAAGAATGCCTAATGACATTCAGGGAAAAGGCAAAGTTGAACTCCCATATGTTGGTTCACACGGGCGAGAAACCACACGAGTGTCACATATGTCAAAAAGCTTGCGCACGTAAATCGGATCTCAACAGTCATATGCTCTCCCACACTGGTGGCCAGTATGATTGCAATATATGTGAGAAAATCTTCACAAGAAAATCTGATTTAAATAGACACATCTTAATACATACTGGTGAGAAACCATTTGCATGTCATTTATGCGAAATGGCATTCAGAGAAAAGGCTAGACTAAATGCTCACATGCTTATTCACACTGGTGATAAAAGACATACCTGTCATATCTGTCAAAAAACATTCAGGGAAAAATCTACCCTGAAAAAACACATGCTCATCCATACTGGAGATAGACCGTACAAGTGTTTTGTTTGTCGTAAGGCCTTTACTCAAAAAACGACACTTAATAGCCACATATTGATTCATACCGGCGAGAGACCTTATGAATGTAATGTCTGTCAAAAAATGTTTAGAGAACGATCTGCATTGAGAAAACATGAACTAATTCACACAGGTGAAAAACCATATGAATGCATCGTTTGTCTAAAGAAATTCACCTACAAATCAGCACTAAAAAGTCATATGACAAGCAATCATTCATCGTAGAAAGATCTAGTCCCCTACTGTGCAGCAAGAAAATCTTCGTTTATTTAGATTTATATTCCCTTCCAAGATCAAGTAACAGTTAACAAACATTCAAATAATGTCCGTAGAATGTTTGAATAATCAAATGCTGTTCGCCCCGTGTCTTTTACTTCGTTCTTATGTGGTTATGGCGTAACAATTACAGAGTTATGTGAAATCTTTTTCTGTCTTTGGCATTATGGATCTCTTTAAAGTATCATGACTCATCGGAACAAAGTTGCATATCTTTTTAAACCGTTCAAAAATATAAAAGAAAATACGATATAAGTTGTTGGCATATTTTCCGAGCAAAATAAGATCGATGCTCGTATAATTATGCCTACATTTTCAGTTAGGCAATTGTTATTATTTTTAGCAGATCATTTTATTTTACGTGTTAAGAAATCGTTGGTTACGCTCCCGTATAAAGATGTAAAACATCAGGTTCTCTGATTGACTAACAAAATTAGCCTTCTTGATGGCAGGCACACAGACGGAATTATGTTTCATTCTGTAATCCGGAAAAAATTATGATATACTCTGTGTTCTAATATAAGCTTTCAGTACTGTGAAAATGACGTCATTATGGTATACTGTGACGTGACGTCATTTTCATACTACGGAAAGCTTATTTCAGAACATATCATATAAAATTGTATATCATCAAATAAAAAATTGGACTCTATCTGATCGGATTAAAAGTTTTTCAAAAATACACGAGGAAAATATAAATTCTATACAAATAATATTGCCTAAAATAATTTTAAAGAACCCATTTATGGATAAAACTACCTTTTGAAAATATGATTTATATAGAATTCACATTTTTATAGTGAATTTTCGTAAAATTGTATATCTGATCATATGTATATAATTATATATCATACGTGCTCAGATAGAGACCAATTTTTTATCTGATTATATATAATCACTTTTTTCCGGGAACCCTCCGGGTGTTGCTGCACAAAACTGTAAAATTATATTAAATGATACACTTTTACTTGTACAGTAGTGATTATTGATTATTGTAGTAACACTAGGTTATATTTATGTGCATTTAAATGTTACTGTATAATTCAGGGTCTTGAAACGAAACCTTTATCTTTTTATACACATATATATTTTTTATCTTTGCTCATTACACTTACCCGGTGACATTATATTCTTTATAAATAAATTGTAAACTTTTCGGTTTTGTGGTCCGACAATGAATTAACTAATCTGATGTGAAAAATTATAAATAATGGAAAACACAATTGCGGTTCTGTGTAACATAGAGCAATGAAAGCTATTTCCTATAGATCTATATAAGGAGAAGTAAAATAGCTTGGTGCAAGCTACAATAATTATAAATTGGATGTAATGTATCAACGAGTAGTGTGCAAATTACATTAAAGATCAAGAAATTACCACTAATCCTCGTAAGCAGTCGTAAATCTGATGTAAATACAAACGTAGCAATAAATGGGTTTGTTAATATTTCTCATAATCTACTAGACTGAAATACTCTAATCCACTAGAATAAAAACAGATCACGACGCTTTTTTCAAAATTGTGAAGAATAGTTTTTTGTAATAATAATTCATCTTATTTTATTAACAACTAAAATTTACTTGAGTATACAGAAACTTTAAACTAACTGCATTCCTCACATCTGTTGTGTTTCCTAATGGATTGTATGTTATTGGGTATTGTATATAATTAATGAACTAAAACTGTCATCGTGTGAATATTTACTATACTATTTACTAATTGTTTGAAATACATTTTAGAATCAATATTTCGTCTTAACAAAGAATACTGTATACAACAAAGATCTCAATAGTGGATTATGACACATAATACTGGAAATAAAAATTATGAAATTAAGTAGAAAATAATTGGTTTTTCCAAAACTAGTCTATAAGATAACTATACTGTAAGCATTCCCGATATGAAGTTTTCAAATAAAATATAGAGAAAATCAAGACAGAAAGAGAATAGAAACACAAAAAGCAAATAACTTTATCATCTTCTATAAGTCATGTTGTTGAAGCTACGAATTTGATGTCAAACTTGAATATATAAAGGGTAAAATAGAAGCCAACGCTAGACAGAGTCCGATAAATGGACGGTACCATACCCACGCGACACCAATGACCAATAAACTAATCGACATCGAGGCAGACGTAGTTACAGAGTCGATTGCAATTATTTCATTTAGGAAGGTTGAATTCAAAATCAATGTTCTCAATATATTCGCCAAACACGTCACTGCTAAAAACATCACTAGCCATCCAAGACCTCTATATAAGAGATACAATATTATTAATTATATAAATTCAATACTGCAAACACAAAGTAACAATTACAATTAGGTAATGTAAAATGTTCTACTTAGGGATCTTACTCAGTTTCATACATAAGATATTCTCATAATTATTACATACATGAGTAGGACATTTTATCATTGCTGATATGTAACTGTTACTTTGTGTTAGATGAGATAGATAGCTATACCTAATGGCCCATGTACGCCAGTAGTTGTGAACAAATTCCATATGAAACATTTGATCGACTGACATTTTATTTTTTCTTTGAAGTAGTATCTCTTCACCATATGAAGTATTATAAGGAACTATCATTCCATGAACCATGAAGCCGATAATGGAGTAAGTATCTCCACCTTTTCCTGCATAGGAAAATTGTACTCTGATATCCCCTACCTGACAATGCAAACATTATGTTATGACATATTTAACATCATTTGTAAATTCAATTTTACCTGAGGATTTCGTAAATCTGCAGTATGATAATATAGTCCTGAGTGTAATTTAATATCCTTACGCTGTGGTTTCTCGTCACTGATAATTTCAACAAAGTCATTGAATTTTTTCTTTAATTCAGTACCAAGTGCTATATTTCCTATCTTAACATCAGCTGCAATTTGTACTTGACTCTTAATAGGTATATCTTTTGGATTGTGGTGTCCAGTTCGAATGTAAAACTGGTCAGAATCAATAAGTTCGTCCCTCCACTCTGTCATATAATAGTAATGCTTCTCATCCTCTGTAACACCTCCATAACTGCATTATAATTATTATAAAATACAAATCAGGACCTTAATTCTATGTACATTTATTTATTTGTTCAGAGAACAAACAATAATAAGGAATATAATAATAAGGAAATTAAATTTTAGATTGTAAATTCAGAAGACTAATTACCTTCGTTCTTCTTCAATTTCAATCCATTGATACATCTGAACTCTTCTTTTTAATTTAACACTGGCTACAAAAATTCCATAATCTGATTCTTTCAGAGGCTCAGAGATTGATATAGGACCACTAAAATGAACCAAATGGCCTTCATACTCAGGTAGTATCTCCATCGGATTTGGAAGCACAACAATTTTGTGTGAGGCTTCATCTAATGAATATGCTACCTTTACAGCATGACCCTAAAAATGAATGTTGTTAGAGCTGTACTAGAAATGTTTTGTAATTTATTTCAATAAACGAAATGTTTGTAAAAATGCACCTCATTCCAAAAAAGTAGGCACATTCCAGCAACAAACAGTATACAGCCTATGATTACTGTCAACATGATTTTTTAAACTGTTCCAAAATGGACATCAGTATATGAATATGACGTTGTCTTTGTTCGTTTGATTGATCCTAAAATGCTGGCTCTGCAATCAACCATTGAGGTTGTCCATTTTGCTGTTTTTCCATTAATATAACCATGATAAGTAAAAAGTATCAATATTAAGATATCAACACAAATATTTTCAATAGATATAGTCCAATATAATAAACATACATGTTACAAATACATTATTTGTTGTTACATTAGCAATAGTAGAACTATTATAGTACTGCTGTTATAAGTATCATATTATGGCAGTGTATTACAATAGAGAGCAAATAATTATGAACAATCAGTATTAAAGATGAGTATCAGTGTTTAAAGGTAAATACTTTTAGTAGCACTTAGATTTCTTGTAATAAACTACATTTTGAAATTAGATCCTACAAACTTGTTACATGATCTCCATTTATCATACATTAAGCTTTCTTGCCACAAATTCATTTCACTCCATGTAATTAAAAAATTATACAATCAATACTTTCTTATGCATGTTTTATGACATGTCGATTCCATTCATATTATATTTGTTTCAAAAACATGACACAACGTTTTATTTGTTGTATCTTGCTAAGAGTAGAACTAATCCTTACATGTAAATAATAGTTGATATAAAAATATAATTCCAATAGAGTTTTTATGTAAAGTTTAAGATTAAGTACGTATAGAGTTTTCGCATATAAATAATTATAGTTTCATAGTAGTTTTAATTCATTGTATAATACTGTTATGAAAATTATTTCGCAAACGTCAACGCAAAATCACTTTTCTACTCTGAAAATAAAACGGAGAAAATCATTTCTGGGACATTATACTTGCTTTTGACATATAATATTTGTAATAATTTTCTTCTATGGAAGCTTTCCAGCACAGCAAACACAATATTACATACAGGACCAGATCTGCTTTTCAAAGGTAACGTCTTGTATCTTTTTCTTGTTCTTCTTTTTCTTCTTCTTTATATATATGGCTCTGGTTAGGACCTTAGTCCATTACAAGCGGCCACAAACTTAATACAGTATAGAGCGTTTCTATAGGGCATCTAGCGTGAGTATCGCTCGGTGATCTGAAACAGAGAGAGGAGGACCCCGGTGACCAATCACCGAGGCGGTCCAACCAGCCACAGCCCGAGGGCTCACAAATCCCCCAATCAGGAGGCACTTCATGCAAGTCGAACCATATCTACGTTTTTAATTGGTCGAGTATATATAGATATACTACGCGTGATATTCGTGAGCTCCGTGAGACGCATGAATTATACCGGGTGGCACTGTAAAGCGTGTGTTTTCTATTGTCGACGCGTCACCTGGACGGAGATGCCTCGAACCATACCCACGTTTTTGATTGGTCAAGCGTATGTATCAGACTACTCTAAGCAAACTCCAAACGTGTATAACAACTGAAATACAGCTTTCCCAATCTATACAATCCAAAAGCCAAAAACTTGTGGTGAATTGACAACACTGTATTTGAGATAGGGGGAGTCTAATGGTTACGTAACGCACACACTCGTATTTTTGTTACATATATACACCTATAGTTCGCATGCATTTTTATAAATATAAGAATTACTCTATCCAGCTGTTGCAATCTGTCAATCATATTATCAAAGCTGCTGCGCGAAGC